GAAGATGCTCGAGGCGCAGATGAAGGACATCTGCGAGAGCCAAATCTCGACCTTGCCCAATGCGGTGGCGGGCGCCGGCGCCGTGTGGGTTTTCTTCGACGCGGGGCTGGCCGCCATGGACGTGAATAAGTAGGCTGGCATCACACCGACCCCTTTGGGGATGAGGTACATGAACCGCTGGCCCGGCGGCGGCCCCCGCGCCTGCCGCCCCCGCGCCGCCCCCGCGCCGCCGTCGGCGGCGTCCAGCGCAAGCGCCGCCGCCGCGTCGCGCGCCGCGCGGGCAGCCTCGACGGACCAGAAGCCGTGCTCGTCGTACCCGGCGTCCCACACGCCCAGCGAAGGGCTGAGTGCCGTCGCGAGACCTCGGCACGCCTGCGCACGCCTGCGCACGCGGCAGAGCGACAGCAGCACCACCCTCGTCGGGCGCCCACGAAGCGTACTCGCGGGTCGCCGCTCCGTCGACCGAAGGCCGAGACACTTGCTCCGACGCCACCCCGCCCCCGCCCCGCCGGTCCGGCACCGATATCTCGGAGGACGACCTAAGGAAGAGCGTGGCGGCGCGTCGCCGGGGGACGGCGCGCTCGTGCTCTCGCCGCGAGATCGAGGGAGGGGGGGGGGGGGGGGCTGCCCCCCGGAAAAACCCCGGGGCGAGGGGTGCGTGTGCCCCCCCCCCGGAAAAACCCCCGGGTGAGGGGGGGGGGGGTGCGCGCGCGCCGTCCTGCAGCGTCGCCGGCCGCAGGCCAAGGAGCTCGGCTCCTCGAGAGCACCGACGGACGACGATCGGCTCCTCAGCAGTGGGACGCCGAGCTGGAGGCTCGGCCCGGAGCTCGCGCGGGCACGTGGAGCTTTCCGCTCGGGCCAGCAGGAAACGGGCGCCCCGCACAGCGACGCCCGCCGTAGAGTGCCGAGAGCTCGGCTCGACGCGAGCGCCGAGGAAAAGCGATCGGCTCCGCAGCAGTGGGAAACCGAGCTGGAGGCTCGGGCGGGAGCTCGCGCGAGCACATAGCGAGGTGCGTGCGCGGCGGCGTGACACAGGTGAGCGGGCAGCTGGCGCACATTTCGACTGTGGGAGCTGCCAGGAGTTTGCTCTCTCCGTTCACACCCCTTTGCAGAATACCTCCCGCTGTATTTATACCGGTAGGGTGCCGAATACAAAGTGGTCTTCTGATAAATGCAGTATGGAAGATACAAAGAGACGGAGGAGCAACGAGCGCCCTGGCGTGAGCCGAAGACACTCCCTCCGTAGACACTGATCACACACGGGTGGGACAGGGTGGGTCACAACAACGAGGCACGAGAGCGTGCACGACAGAGCGACAACGCAGCGCACTGCCGTCCAGTCGGCGAAGGGACGGCTGCTGCGCAAAGTGATCAGTTCTAATGAATGTACCGGGGCCCAACGGATAGATAGATGAATCCGGGGCACCCTCCGCTCGAATCCCTGGCCGGGGGTTCGAGGTGGCCCCCACCCTGGGGCCTCCCATCAAAGGGACTGCGGCAGAAGACGCCCAATCTTGCACAAGTGCAAGAACCATACGTCTTCTGATAAATGCAGTATGGAAGATACAAAGAGACGGAGGAGCAACGAGCGCCCTGGCGTGAGCCGAAGACACTCCCAACTGCGCTCCGTCACCGGTGTCGCGGTCTCCCCCACTGAGGACGATCTGCGGGGGGGAGTCGCGCCGCCGGCATGTATCTGTGCAACTGTGTTTTTGCCTTGTCCCGTTTGATGGAGCAAAGTCACGGGCCGCCCGCGCTTGAAGGCGGTCGCGCCAGGCGCGGGCGGCACTAGTTGCCGGCGATCCGCTTGGGCAGCGCCCACGCTTGCCTCTGGCTGGGTCTCCATAGGTCGCGCGGCCCGAATGCTCGAATTGAACGTCTCGCAAGCTGGCGTCGCTCGCGTAGCTGTGGCAGGGCGATCCTCCCCCCGGATGAGGGAGATCTCTAGCCTCCTAACGAGGTTGCCCTCCGGCTGGCTGTTGCCGACAGCAGTTAACACCTCCGCAGTTGCGTCGGTCGCGCCACAGGTAGAGACGTTGAGCTCGACAAAGTCTTGGTAGTTGTTTCGGGCCATCAGTCCGACAGGAGAGGGCCAGCGGTCGCCTCCTCGAGCTGCCCATGCCTTCGCCGGTTTACGGAGCAGGGAGTCGAGCGTCGGCGCCTTGGCTGCAATAGCGCGCGAGCAACGCTGCTCGGCCACTCGGTCGCGCGCCACGGTGGTCCCGCCCACATACTCGGCGCGAGTCTCAACCTCCGCAGAGTAGTTCTGAAAAGAGTTGGTCCTCAGGCAGGCCGGGAAACTCGAGCGGGTAGTCTTCAGCATGCTGAGCACATGCCGAGCGAGCAGGGAGGGGTGCCCATCGCTCGCTCGCGGAGTGATGTGACCAGCGGCGGCGGCGAGCGATGCAGCCCCCACGACGGCGCTCCCCATGGGATCGACGCGCGCTGCCGCCGTGAAGACGGGCCCCAAGCAGCGGGTCATGTCAGACAGGGCTGCGAACGGGACGTCGGCCGTAGGGTCGCAAAGAGCCCCGACTGTCGCGTACTGCAAGAAGTCGACGGCCTTTGCTTCTGCAGATGGCGCTGGTCCCAAGGGTGTGATCGCCTCAGAGTACCCCAAATCGCCCCACTGCAGATAGAGCTCGGGCACCGGGATTTGGCGGGAGTGCAGAGCCTGGATGCACACCGTACGGAACGCATCCTCATCCACGTGCACCGTGCTGAAGACGCCGAGGTCGGACAAGGCGCCGAGGATGCGGCGCCAAGCCGCGGCCAATACGGCCAGCCGCAAGACGCTGAGCCTGTCAAAGTGGGTGGCCACAGCGGGCTCGGGCTCACTGAAGGGGAGCAGCGCACTGATGGCGACCCACTGCGGAATCTGGACCCACGACGGTTGCATCCCCGGAGGAGGAGGGGGCAGCTGGAGGAAGGCCGGATTGCCCACCACAGACCACGGAATGAAGCGCAGGGTAGAGCCCACCACTGTTGAGTCGACGGGTATCACCAGTGGCTTTGCGGGATCGGGGTGCTGCTCGGCCGGAATGCTTGAGCTCGGCGGCAGTGAGGTCTGGCATCGCAGCGCCGGTCGTCTCGTCGAGGGCTACCTCTCGACTCTACTCCCGTGTCACAACAACGAGGCACGAGAGCGTGCACGACAGAGCGAACACGCAGCGCACTGCCGTCCCAGTCGCGACCGCAACGCCGCGCCGCAACGTGCGCACCGCACGCAGCGACGCTTACCCGTCGGCCGTCTCGCTGGCTCACGCATTGGCCATTGTGCCGCAAGCGTTTGGCTCTCCTTAGGCTCTCCTATTTCGAGGGCGGTGCCGATCGGTGTACGCGGCAGTGCCGTAGCAGGCGCGATGTGTCCAGCATTCAACTTGCCACGTTGGCACGCTGGGAGAGTATCGCTTCCTCGCAGAGAGGTGTCAGCACCCGCGGGACACAACGTCAGCGTGCTGGGGCGACATAGAATGGAGAAGGTAGTTGTACTTAAGTACGAACTGACAAAGAGCCGAGACTCGACTCCGCACGGCGTGCCTCTGCGTGTCTGCGTGCGTGTTTCACCCTGCGTGTATCAGTAAAAACATTCTGCGTGATTATGGCTGGGCTAGCCGTTTCAGACAGCCTCCGAGGTCTTGAAGCGACGCACAGCGTGTGGCTTGCGGCGTGGTACGCCATGGTCGACGCCGACACCACGCCGTATTCCATGCAGCTCGCCGCCTCCTCGCCGCCGAGCATGCGCCCGTCGCCGAGCGCCATGGCGCATGGGAGCCAAACGCCTGCGGCACAGTGTGAGCAATGCGATATGCGTGAGCCGGCGTGCCACGGCCGACGGGTAAGCGTCGCTGCGTGCGGTGCGCACGTCGCGGCGCGGCGTTGCGGTCGCGTGAGCGGCGGCGGCGGAGTGGCTGTGCGCGCCGGTCGGAGTATTCGCGCGCATTGGATCTGTGGAGAGCGCGAGCGTGCCGGCAAGGCGGCGAGCGGTGGTAGGGCCTGGCGCGATACCTGCGCGAAGTTGTTGTTGAGCTGGCCAAACGGGATGCCACCAGGTCTTGCTTGAGTAGCCTAGCCGCAATAGAGTAAGGGCGTGAGGCAGTGTTGTGTCCGCGATGGCGCTCGAATGAGGGCGTGGAAAGATGGGTGACCTGGGTACCGAATGCGCTCGTGGCTCGCCTCCGCGCCCGAGCGACAGGCGTGGGTCCTCAGACTGCACCCAGGGCCCGAGCCTCACGGCTGCAACCCTCGGACTCGGTCCGTCACGAGCTAGCCGGCCGCGGCACTTCGAATGGCCCCATGACGTGGCGGGAGGGCTAAATCTTTTGTGGAACCAGTGTATACGTCCGCGCGGGCGGCGCCGCCCCGCCCGCCCGCCGCAATAATAAAGCGCAGTGTCCTCTTCATCCTGCCGAGAGCCTCCTGGCCCGCGCGCGCGCTCCGCCTGGCGCGCGGAGCGACTCGGTGGACGTCCGAGCCCGCCGCCCCTCGCCACTGCACCCTGCTGGCCCATGCAGCGTGACACCGCCGCAGCGCCTGCTTCCTTGCGCGCCGCTGGACGTCGGCCGAAAAGACCGCTTCCCTCTGGGGACCCGACTCCGCGAAGATCGCGCGCGCGTCGTGAATGCGGCGCGCGCGCGATCTCCGTTCCCGGGCACGCCGGTCGCAGTGGCATGGGATCCCAGGCTCAAAACAGCGCAACAGCGAGCGAGCGCCCGCTGCTCCTCCTCCCGCCGCCGCTCCGCTCACCGAGACAAACTCGGTGCCGCCGTTCTCGCCGCCGCCGCCGCCGCCGCCGCCTCGCCCCTCGCCTCCGTCACCGCCGCCCTCCATCTCGCGGCGGCGTCCCTCTGATGGGGCGCGGGCGCCTCGCTCGCCGGCGCCTCGCCGCCGCCCCCCCTCTCGCCGCCGCTCCGCTCGTGGCCGCCGCCTCCCCTGTCAATCGACAATCCCGCTGTCCGCACCACCGCTGCCACCGCCTCGCGCCTCACCGCCGCCGCCACCGCCCTCCCCCTCGCCGCTGAGCGGTGCTTGGCGAGCCTCTGGTCACCGTCCCGGCCGCGGTGCCGCACACAGCTTGTGCACACTCTCCTTCTCTGTACTCTGACTGCGCCGCCGGCGCCGCCACGCATGCAGTTAGGTGCTTGGGTCAGCGGCGTGAGCCGAGAGGTGGCCCACCGCTGACAGCGCTCAGCGCGCCGGGGGGGGGGGGGACGCGCCCTGGGCAGCAGCTAGCTCCTGCCTCCTCTCCGCTCGCGCCACCCCGCGCGCGGGGGCGTGACGTCTGTAGCGATGCGACGGTGGGACGGTGTCCGACCCGTTCTGGGGTTTTCATATAATGCGGCTCTACTCGTATCGACCAATAAAATACCGGGGGAGGCCTGCGCAGCCTCTAACTATTGGGACCAGTGGGTTTGTACTATTAAATCGCGATTTTTTTCGAGCTCAGACGGCAGCGAGCGACTTTTGCCTGTAGACGTAACTCGGCCTCTGGCCGCCGACAGCGCCTAACTCGGGGTCTGGGGCGGAGCCCCAGCCTGGGGTCTGGTAGCCTTTCCTTTGGAAGTCGCGCGTACCGGGCTGGCCCACATTTATGGTGTCGGGCAAGCCGTGATGATAGCCTTGCCAATTCATCAAAGCGCCGTTAGGAAAGAAGCCCCGCATTTTCTGCGCCGAAGTGTAGGTCGTTGCGGGGTCATGAAACTCTCCAATGATGAGCGGCTTGACCCTGTCGAGCGATGATCCGTAGGAAGGCACCGGGCGTGGGAGGTTCGGCGCCGACGCCACTGAAATTAGATTGCCGGCTCGCCTGATGCCAAGAGGGTGTTTGGCGAGGAGCTCAGTCCATAAGCGCGAAAGATCGTTGGGATTCATCCGCTCCGCCATGTCCACAGATCGCACAAGGCCTACAGGTTCATTCACGCGACCCGAACCCGACGCGAAAGGAGGTAGTGGGTTGTCGGTGTGGCAACAGCCTTTGTTGGGATCGAAGTTGCAGCAGCCTGCGCCGTCGCCGTTGCGGTTAGTGTAATACGACTGGACGCACGCCATCAGAACAGCACCGCCACGAGAAACGCCGCCTTGCATAATTCCGCCGTCTTCAAAAAACGTATGGACCTGGTTGAGAACAAAAGAAGCAAAGCTTTGGTCGGTTTGGTTGCGGATGATCGAGTATATCTTGTCCGTCGGGTAAGGCGCCGCTGCACATAAGTCGTCGGCGGAGAGGTCGGTGGTGTTTTTTACGAAGAAGTCGTCGTTGCAAGCAGCGGCGAGCCCGTTCCAGACTTGCTCGTAGCTGAGGGCGAGCAGCTCGGCGTATTCGTAAAGCTCGTTCGAAACGGCGACATTGCCGTCGAGCACCAGCTTATCGACGCGCTCCGGAAACATGGTCGCGTAGCTTGCGCCCACTTCGGTGCCATAGGAGATGCCGTAGACAGAGAGTGTCTCTGCTCCGACGGCGGCGCGAAAGATGTCCATGTCCTGGGCGAGGTCGAACGTCCCGACGAAGTCTTGATATGTCATCGTGCCTCGAGCATCATTGGTTCCGAGAATGTACTCGGGCCGCGTCCGGCACTCTGACATGGCCGCGTTCTGAAGCTTTGCGTAAACCTACTTTCGGGGATAATGTTAGGGCTGTGCGTTAATATACCTTGCGGGGGGCGGGGGGGGGGGGGGGGCGCTCCTTGATAGCCTCTGGGTCAACAAATGGGTCACCAACATTGGCGGGAACCGGAAGGTTGGCATCGGCATAAGCTTCACTCACTTTCTGTTCAATCCGTGGATCATCAGCTTCATAACACTCAATGATAGGAAAGGGCTTGACGTCTCCCCACTCCGATGGGACAGGTTTGCTCGTTCCCGGATCATAACCATTCACGTTGTTGATGCCCCTCTGAGAGATCGCGAGGTTGTCATATGTGCCGTCTTGAACCAAATCGTAGTTGAGGTCGTTGTTATACAACTCCCAGGCTTCATTTGCACTTCCAGGCCCACCCCAGTGAGAAAGGAGCGGCTTTGCACCCGTTGCGCACTTAGTGTATGCTGAGACGCGCAGCGCAGCAAAGGGAAGCGGTTCGCCGAGCAGATCGAGCGAAGGCTGCTGGTGCAGAATCGGCACCTTGAGCCATCCAAACCTCGCGGTTCCGCCATTAGGCCTCTGCAAATACGAGTCCCACCGCAGCAAGTCCGGATCGGGATCACAGACGCTCCATTTTGGCGGCAGTGGCGGCGGCGGCGGCGGCGGCGGCGGCGGCGGCGGTGGTGGAGACTGCGCCACACAAAAGTCGGAGCAGCGGCCACAGCCGGGGTGGGCAATGCAGCACTCGCCACACGCAATGAGCGCCGCCGGGTCTGCACCAGGCGTGCACGGGCAAGGGTCGGGCACCGGGCTCGGCGGAGGCGATGGCGAGCCGCAGGAGTCGGAAGAGAAGCAAATCGCAGCCAAGATGATGGCCACCACTGAGATCAGGGAGGAGAAGATGATGACGAGCCACATGACGTTCAGCGCCCGACGTGGCGGGCCGGGCGGGCCCTCTGGCCCTGTCTTGCCGTCTTCTCCCGCGACTCCCTGGTAGCCGCGCGGGCCTGCGGGACCAGCGGGGCCGACAGGGCCAGGCGGGCCCGGATAAGGCGGCGGGGGAGGCCCCGGGCGCCCGCAGCTCAGGACTCGCAGGTCCATGTTGCACATGGCCGTCTTTGCGGGCGGTGGAGGCGGCGGCGGACGGGCCGACTCGCTCTGCAGCGAATCGCTGCTTGTTCCTGCTATGAGGGGACCGTCGGCCGGCGGCGGCGAAGGCGGCGGCGACAAGAGGGGTTGGTGAGCAGCCTTGTGCGAGTTGCGACGCAGCGAAACGACGACCGCGGCGGCGACTGCGAGGAAGGCGAAGACACCAAAGGCGGCGAGGGGCATTGGTTCTGCTGGCAGCAGTGAGGAGGCACTCGGTGAGTCTGCTGGCAGCGCAGCCGCGTCGGGGAGGAAGAGTGCTGTGGTTGCGGCGTAGGCGAGAACCCCAAGAGGGTTGGCGCCGAGTTGGAATATCATGGCCGGCAATGTCGCAGCGCCCGCCAGCGGCCGCGGCGCCAGGATCGGTATGCTGAAGGTGCGACACCTCGCTCGCCTTTTTAGTGGGCAACCCAAAGTCGAACGATTGAAGGCGGGCGCTCCAACGTGAGGTTGCAATCTGCAAACCGGTATTGCAATATCGCGCAATCAGTCCCGTGCATAGCTGTTGCGGGGACATGGAGCGGGCGGGGCTGCGCCTTCGGGCGGGGCTGCGCCTCGCTGCCCCCTTCCCCCCAACCCCCACCCCCCCAGCGTCATTCATGTGGATGCCCGCAGCCTGGATGGATTTTGCCCTCATTTTTTTGCCGCGAAGCGCGAATACGCGATACCGCCACAGCAGAAGAAAGAATGCTGCTGCCGAGCTGGCCACCCTCGCAGGTCCGACTGAGGCCCAAGTTGATCCGCACTCATGTCGATATTGTCGTCCGTCGCCGCGCGCAGGCCTGGCTAGGGGGTGCGGTGCGTACCAAAATCCACCAGTGTGGGATTTCGCACAGAAGCTTGACTCTGAATAGCTCGCTATGTACCGTCGGGTACTTATTTTAAGAGCAGGTAAACAGCAATAGATCCGGCCCTCAAGCGGCCTAATCGATACCCAGCCCTCACGGAATCGGTCCCTCGTTGTACAGCAATCGATCCTTCACACTGCCCGCGCTGCCAAACTTGCTGAGAATCGGTCCCCCCATCTGTGGCGCGAAGCTGATATGTCTCCCGCGCTCGGCGCGCCGACCGCGCAGCGGCGGCAGACCACCCTCCGGTTCGAGGGGCGCCTGGGGGTGAGCGGGCTGCCTCCGCCAGAGTAAGGGCGACGCCCTTAGCCAGAGTTTGGCTCGCCCATCTGTGCGGGCCCCCCTGTACCCCCTCCCCCCCCCGGCCCGGGTGTCTAGCAATTGGTCCCTTGGCAAGCGCGAATCGGTCCCCCTGGCTCCAGGAACTGATCCGGCACTACACCCGGATCTATTGCTGTTTACCTGCTCTTAAAATAAGTACCCGACGGTACCGGGTACCTTTCTGAGCGCTGTAATCGCCGCAGACTGGCTCCGACTTGACGGCAGCATGGAGACGTGATGCCTCCATGCTGCCGTCGAGTCAAAAAAGGCTCTGCCACATGGACGCGCTGCCCGACGACGTCGTTCGGCATGTACTGCGCTGGTGCCCCGCGATGGCCCTTTCGTCGGTGCAGTGCGTCGCTCACAGGTTTGTCGACGCTGTCTTGGTGGTGGCGGATGAGACGATCAGGCAGCTCGGTGCCTTGTGGAAAGACTCCCGCGTTTACCAACCGCATTTCCGCAGCGCTCGCCATCTGTCGTCTGGCACCGCTGTGCGGGCGTGTGGTGCTGGTCCCGCGAGCATTTCACGTGCTGTGGGCGAGTTGCATGTCTGAATACAAGCGCGACATGCACATCGATTACCGAGCTCTCGAGCTCGTAATACATACATATTTTATTTTCTAGCACTCCGCCGATTCGCTCCGCGCCCCGTCCGCCATACAGGCACAACCGCCCGCCCGCCCTTGCCACCTGCCTATCCACCGCAGCAGAACCCCCCCCCCCCCCCGCGGTCGACGGGGAGAGAGAGAAGAGAGGGCGACACGGTCGAGCGGCCGAGGCTGCACCGCTCACCGCCCCCGCCCCACCCCGCCGCGCGCCTGCAGAGCATCCGCAAGAAGATGCGCGAGATCATGTCGCGCGAGTCGACCTCCTGCGAGCTCAAGGAGCTGGTCAACAAGTTCATCCCGGAGGTGATCGGCAAGGAGATCGAGAAGGCGTGCCAGGGCATCTACCCCATGCAGAACGTGCACATCCGCAAGGTCAAGATGCTCAAGAAGCCTAAGTTCGACCTCACCAAGCTGCTCGAGGCGCACGGTGACTCGGGCCCCGCCGCCGCCGCCGCCGACACGGGCGACAAGGTGGAGGTGGCCGCCGACGCGGACCCGGCGGCGCGGCCCGACCGCGGCGCCGTGCTGTAAGCGCGACGCTTGAGGGCTTGTGGAGCGGCGGGCGCCCTGAGCAGCGTGTTGCAGGGTGCGCACGATCTGGCTGGGCTGACTGCTTGTGGAGAGTGGGTGAGTCCGTGCCTGGACGGATAGAAAGGTATTACAGTTGAAACCTATCGAGAACTGCGGCGGTCCCTCCCTGCGGCCGCTCCGCTCGAGCTCGCGGTCTAAGGTCTATCCACTATCTATCGCTAGACGCTACAGACTACACACGACAGTGTGAGAGTAGAGAGAGATTTTTAGCAATACCAAACAACTCTAACACTCACTCACACGTCATTTGGGGCCTGGAGCTGGACACAGTGTGTGGTTGGTTAAGTGTTATAAGTGCCACTGCTGGTGGTTTGCTGCGCACGCCACTGTACATTGATCAGGTGATATCACTGTCAGCCGCGCGTTGCGGAGGACGACTCACACGTTCTCTCTCCGCGGGCGCACACACTCCAACACACCCCCACTGGAGGCGTCCGTCGGTTTCACGGCGCAGCTGCCACGCGCACGTACGCCGCCTTTTGCACCCAAAGCGGCCAAGGTTCAGTCTGCGCGCACCCGCCCCCGAGGTGCTCACAAACCCGTCTTTTGCACGTCCTCTGAGATGGGACGGTTAACATTGCGGGGCTCCAAGTCGTCGCGGAGCTCGGCGGGCGACGGCGACTCTGCGCGCAGCGCGAGCGAGTCGCCTGCAGCTGCACCGGCTGCTGCACCACGGGACCTCGGCGAGGCTTCCAATGCGGCAGCTGGTGAAATCTCTGGTGCCGACAGCGAGCGCTCGACGAAGCGCGGTGGCGTCATTGGTGCCGTGCGCAATGTCGGGAGCGCCGTGTACAAAGCGCCGTCCTCGATCAGCAATGCGAAATCACGAGCTCTCGCAAAGGTCGAACCACGCCTGCCCTGTCACCTGCCAAAGAGCTACTCGCCGCGTGCGCAGCCCTACGGTCGCTGCAGCATTTAGTGCACTGACCCAGCTGCCTACCGCCCCCGTCGCAAAGGTCGACCAGAAGCACGACGAGATCCTCGAGGCGCAGCTCACGAAGATCATCAACAAGGCCGGCGGCATCGCAAAGGAGTCGGCCAAGGCGCCATACATGCCGCGGCGCGTCGCTGGCATCGTGGACGACATCATGTCCAAGATCTGGGACGAGGTGGGCATGGACCTCAAGACGGGGATCATGGCGTCGTACGGGCGAGCCAACAAGGCACACGCCGCATCTGCGGCCTCGCGTCGAGTCTGCCAGCATCTCACCGGTCCAGGCCCGCCGCCAGGCGCACCGCGAGCTGCGGCTCAAGCAGTGGGCTAAGGCGCCGCCGTTTCGTCGGGACAATATCTACGCGTGGCTGCGCGCCAAGGTGCTGTACGCGACGCAGCCGGCGGACGCGACCATCTG